AGCAGATAAACATAAAAAGAAAGGAATTGCAATATATGTGAAAGATGATTTAAAAGCAGATCTAATTTGGTCAGACCCGGAAGGAAGAACTCTGGTTCTACAAATCTCGATTAATTATACTACATTTTTATTGGTAGCAATTTATGCTCCAAATGAACAAGGAAAAATTTTTAAAGATCTCCACCAAAAAATAATAGGTTTTGAAAAAAGAAACATTTGTATGATAGGTGACTTTAACTCTATTGCTGACCAACAAAAAGACCATAGTAATGCGAGTAAGAACAAAAAAGGGAAAAGAGAATTCTCTAAGCCCTGTAAGGATATGATGAAAGAAGTAAATTTAGTAGACTTATGGAGAAAACTAAACCCAGAAGATAAACAATTTACATATTACTCTAATCCGCATAAAATATGGAGAAGAATAGACATGGCCTGGATGAATGGGGAATTGGCAAATGAAATAAAAGAAATCGAAATTTTACCAAACGAATGGGCCGACCATAACCCAATTCAAATAATTTGGAGAGGCAGGAGAAAAACAAAGAAAAGATGGACACTAAACACCCATTTAATAAATGAAGAAGAGTACATTAATAAGCTGAAAGAGGAATTAAATTATTTCCTAAAAGAAAACAATAATGAAGCAACCTCGAAACAAAATATCTGGGATACAATGAAGGCAATCATAAGAGGAATAACAATCTCTTATAATGCCATGAGAAATAAAAGAAAATATGCCCAACAAAACAAACTACAACAACAAATTAAGGAGTTAGAAACTCAATTACAAAAAAACCCAAAAAACCAAAGAATACAAAATCAGTTAATAACAACTAAACATAAATTGAACCTATTCAAACAAGAAAAAATGGAAACAAATCTGAAAATGACCAAACAAATTTATTTTGAGTATGCAAATAAACCAGGAAGATGGTTATCCTACAAACTTAAAAAAGGGAAAGAGATTGATACACCAATTAATGGACGAGAAGGGCGATTTACAACATGAGATAGAGAAGAAAAAAGATATCACTCACAAATACTTTCAAAAATTATATAAAAAGGAAAAAGTCAACGAAGATAAAATAAGAAACTATCTAGAGGAAACGAACGACAAAGTAATTGGAGAGGAATGGATAGAATTACTAAATAAAGCTATTACATGGTCTGAATTGAAGTCAGCAATAGAGAACCAAAGTAATAACAAATCTCCAGGACCAGATGGGATTCCGGCAGAATTATATAAAGCAACCATGGAAATAATTGGACCACTGATGTTGGAAGTGTTTAATGAGGTACTTCTAGCAGCTAAGATGCCAGACTCGTGGAGTGGAGCATTGATTTCGCTAATCCCGAAGAAGGATGTAGACCACAGATATATCAATAATTACAGACCAATCTCACTACTAAACGCTGATTACAAATTATTCTCCTCCATTATAGCTAATAGATTAAAACAAGTTTTAAACTCACACATCCACGAAAACCAAAATGGATTCCTCCCGTCTCGACAAATAAAGAATAACTTAAGAACAGTTATAGATGTCTTAGAATTCTATGAAGCCCATCCGGAGAAACAATTCGCACTTATGTTCCTAGATGCAGAAAAAGCATTTGATAATTTAAATTGGCATTTTCTAATTCAAAAAATTTATAACATGAGTCTTGGCACTAAATTTGAAAATATCATAACAACAATTTACGACACACAACAGGCCAATATACTAATAAATGGGGAACAAACAGGTCCAATAAAAATAGAAAAAGGTGTTAGACAGGGCTGCCCTCTCTCACCTCTTCTCTTCATATTTGCTCTAGAATCTCTTCTAACACGTATTAGGCAAAACTCTGAAATTAAAGGATTGAGGATTAAATCAGAAGAATATAAATTACAAGCGTTTGCTGATGACATGGTCTTCTTTTGGGAGGAACCTATAGAAAAATGACACTATTTAATAAAAGAATTAGAACGATTTGGCGCAGTTGCAGGACTTAAAATTAATAGAAAAAAAACAAAATTAATGACCAAAAACTTAACAGAAGACCAGAAAAAAGAATTAGAGGTAACAATGGGAATACAGGTAACAAAAAAAGTCAAATACCTGGGACTATGGTAACATCACAAGGTAAATCACTTAAAGAGAATAATTATGATAAATTACTCCAACAAGTAAAGAAAGATTTAGAAACGTGGAGCAAGTTGCAGCTTTCTTTATTGGGCAGGATTGCTTCGATTAAAATGAACATACTACCAAAATTTCTATACCTATTCCAGACAATCCCAATTAAATTACATAAAAAATTCTTTGAAGAACTAAATAAGATAACACTTAAATTCATTTGGCAGGGAAAGAAAGCCAGGATTAATGTAAAGGCATTACAAGATTCGAAGAGTAGAGGGGGACTAGCTCTCCCAAATTGGGAATTATACTACACGGCAGCCACCTTACTATGGCTAAAAGATTGGGTGAACCTACTCAACAAAAGAACATTATTATTAGAAGGGTACGATCTGCAGAGAGGGTGGCATGCCTTTTTATGGGAAGTGGGGAAAACCAAGCAGTCATACTTTCATAGACATCTTATCAGGGACTCACTATTAACTAATTGGAAAAAAGTACGCAAAAAACACTATCTAAAAATACCAATTTGGCTTTCAACAATGGAGGCAATGGTACACTCGAATAACCTGGACATTACAAAAATGATCAAATACAAAGATTTATTAGACCCACAAGGAAAACTGAAAACACGACAAGAATTACAAGAGCAAGGATTTAAAATGGATCAGTGGTCATATCTCAAATCTACAGTAGATATAAACAAGACAACAAAGATTTTGGAATTTATAACAAACCGCAGTACTTAGACAAAATTTTATTAGGACCAAACAAAAAGAATATATCTAAATTTTACAAATACTTATTGGAAGTAGAACTAGAACAAGAGATAGTCAAAGGAAATATGATAGCCTGGAGCAGGAATGTCGGACGGAGTATTACACTATCAGAATGGGAAAGGATTTGGAATAGAAATATCAAAATCACAAAATCGGCAGCTTACAAAGAAAATACATACAAAATGTTTTACAGATGGCACCTGCCCCCTTCGAGGTTGGCGAAAATGCACCCCAACACGAGTCCTAAGTGCTGGAAATGTAAAAGTATAGATGGAACCTTTTTCCACATGTGGTGGTCATGCAAGGAACCCCAAAAATATTGGCAAAAAATTAGAAATTGGTTAGAGGAGATAACCAAAGAACAAATTGAATACAAACCAGAGTCCTTCCTATTAGGGATTTTCGACAAACAATTATTAAAAAAGACGAAGTATATAGTAATCCATATTTTAACTGCGGCCAGGTTAGCGTTCGCTCAGTGCTGGAAATTACCTTACACACCCACAGAACAGATGATTATCCAGAAAATATTAGAGTGCGCAGAAATGGACAAATTAACCCTAACCTTAAAAAACAAAGAGACCTCAATATACTATAATAACTGGAATTCCTGGTATAACTGGTTAAATCAAAGACAGACTGTTTATAAGAGAAACTCAGCCGAGGGTAATTTAAGTATAGATACCGATAAGATGTGCGTATTCGATATAATTTAAGAAGAAAAGATCTTACTGACTGTCAAAAAGGATATTGTTTTTTAAATGTTCCTTTTCATTTCTCTCTCTTTTTTCTTTCCTTTTTCTTTCTTTCCACATTTCGCTCTTTTTTCTTTTTTCTGGCCTCGCCAAGGCCCTGTTTTTTGTGTATATGTTGTAGATTTGTTTTTTAATTGTAAAACTAATAAAAAATTTAAAAAAAGAAAAGAAAAAGAGAAATGCAACAAAAATTTCCAACAAAACTTAGGTTGCAAGTGTCGGTCGTTAGCACCCACCCCTCTCCTAGAAAAATGAAATACTTTAGGACATATTAAAAGGACAGAATATTTCCCCTAAAAGAGAAATAGAAACTCAGAGAGGCAGAAGCTCTCCCCCCACCTTTGTTAATGGGTGGGCCATTAAGGCCTGGGCCAGAGTATTCTACATAACAAAGGCCTCTACCCATCTCACTACATGGCCTGGGAAGATTGCATCAGCCAGCACTCAGGTGAAGCCATGTGGTCAAGACAAAGCCTACAAAGTTAGCTAAGACCCCCGCCCCTGGGAGTCTGACAGCCAATGGGATACATTTCTTACACAGGAACAGGAAACACTAAGGTGGGGCCCAACAGAGGGTATAAAACTAAGGGTCTCTCAGAAGCTTGCCCCTTCTTTTCCTTCACCCAACATCTTGAAGTATGTGATTGTCCTTTTCACTTTGGAGCTCCAAGCCATGTGGTCCTGTCTACCACAAAACCATCTTTCCAAGCAGTCACCATGTTTCCAGTGTCTTTCTTCCCTATTTGGAACTGAACCCAGAAGGATACTTCTTCCAACAATTGGCGACCATGAAGGGACTCCAAGCTAACCTAACCAGTGGTCCTTGTCCAGGTAAGCAGACCTTTGCTGGCAGTAGACATTGAGTCTGTGGGTGAGTTTTCCTGGACCTTTTTCTTGGCCATTTGGAAAAAAAGGATTTAAAGGGGTTTTGAGTGTTGAGCTCAAAGGCTGCTTGGAAAGAAGGTGAGCACCCCTAAATTCTAAATTTAAAGCATGGGAAAGCATGGGAAATGTGCATATGCCTGCATGTGTGTGAGTGAGAGGGCCCTTCTCACAAACACAACTGGATCTTGCTTCCTCTGTGCATTTCCTAACCACAGAAACACCCAAGAGTCTGGTGAGCATGGGGGTTTGCCAGAGCACAGGACCTTTTGTTAGGGTAGGAGGAAGTGTGTGTGTGTGTGTGTGTGTGTGTGAGAGAGAGAGAGAGAGAGAGAGAGAGAGAGAGAGAGAGAGAGAATGGCTTCACCCTTGGACAGCAGCTGGATCTCATTTCTCTGTTTGACCTCTAGCTGCACCCCTGCCTGTTGCTAGCTCCTCCGAGCCGTGACCAACAGGATTGGGAAAGCAAGGGGGGACCATCAGAGTGTGGGACCTTCTGTATATAAGAGAGAAAAGCCAAGCGGGTTATGATTGAAAGGAGGGAAGAAAAGTTTTTTTGTTTTTTTGTCCAGTGTATCCCAAAAGCAAACCCCAGGATTTTAGGTAATTAGGAAGTTGTGAAGGAAAAGGAGCACCAGTACTTGCCTGTGGAGAGCAGCAACTCCTCCTGGATTTGAACTCTTCCAAATCTGAAAACCTAGGCCTGAATAAGGAGCACCAGTACTTGTCTGCTGGGGGCAGCAAGTCCTCCCGAACTGTCTTTTTAACCCAGTCCGAAAACCGTGGCCTGAGAATTCCCTCTGAGGGGAGTGTGCATACCTTGTAAGGGAACCAAAGTCTCCCCCAGAAACCTTTTTGTCTGCAAACTGATAGCCTGCTGACCCGACTAAGCCAAAGTGTGAAACCCCACATTGGAGAGGGAAACATGGGAAGCTGTAGTTCAAGGGTCCTGAATGGAACCCCCTGGGAGGGTTATTGGAGGCTTGGGATGAACGGCAGATGCCGGTCCTAGCTGGTATGGATAAGAAAAGCTAAAAGGATATGTAAAAAATGGGCTTTGCTGAGGGATGACACAGGAAGACAAATTTGGCTAAACAAAGGTACTTTTAAAAAAGAAAATTTATAATTTATTTTTCTTTCCTGACTTTAAATTTTTAAACATTTGCATTTAAACATAAAATTCTGACAGCTTGGGAACCAGGAGATAAAGAAACATTGTTGACAGACATACAGAGCTACGCTGAGAACATATGTTGAAAACAGTGTAACTCTTGGACACTATAATAAACAAAGAAGATACAAAGAAATAAAAGATTAAACCCCTTTCTCCTGAACTGTTATGACTGCATTGGCAAAGCTGCACTGTGGAACTTAACGCAGGGAAATAACTGAAGGCTGGATCCTGAGACTTGGTGATATAACATGGAGTACAACTGGATAATTAAATTTTACCCTTGTTTTCTTTTTGGGGACATAACACCAGAACAACTTTGTGGATATTATTATACTTTTTCTTTCTTTTCTCCCATTTTTCTTTTTACAATTTTTTTTCTTTCTCAATTTTTAATTTTTGACTTTAAAAAAAAAACTTTTTAAAGTGATTGGTATCACTTTTTTTTAATCTCCCTTACGCCTTTAAACTTATTGTAATAAAAAAAATTCTTTTGCTTCTTTTTTATTTTTATTTTTTTCTTGAATTTTTTTTTAATTTTGCCTTAAAATTGCTGATCTTCTCACTGGATTGGTACAGTCTACCCCTTTTGGGATTTACTGGATTAGGGCATAGAAGAGCTTGAAGAAAGGAATCTGGGGAAAGACCTTGTTGTGGGTTACTAAACGACTTTGAATACAAGATGGATTGCAAAGAGATTATTAAGAGACAATAAACACAATATCGAAAAATGAAAAAAGCAACAACATCCGCCCCATCATCAGCCTCCTCCTCAGCAGCTTCTAAGCCCTGGAGGTCAAAGATCTATTGACTTGATGTTACAGCAAGAAAAGGTGGTTACAATGCAGGCAGAAATTAAAATGATTCTACAAGCTCTACAAGAGCAAATAGGGAGAATGGATGAAAAAAATAGGGAGTGTAGAAGGAAAGGTAGGCAATATAGAAGAAAAAGTAGAGAACATTCAACAATTGATGAAAAATGAGGAACATATGAGGAAAATAGAGGAGACAGCAGACATAACAAAAAAAAGAGTATGAGAAATGGACTATAGGCTGACACTAGCAGACAAAAGCAAGAAGAAAAAAATTATCACGTTGGAGATGGATCGCGCCAATTATTATTTAAGATTCCAAAACACTGAGGAAGAAAAGGAGGAAAATCTAGCAGAAATAATGGCAGAGCTACTAGCAGGGGCCCTGGAAGTAACAAAAGAAAAAGTGATAGCTGATGTAGACAAAATATTTAGGGTCCAGACTAGATATGCACTGAGAAATAAGTTAGCAAGAGAAGTACATGTCAGATTTACAAAGAAAGCTACAAGAACAGAAATATTGCAGAAAGTGAGAGATAACACATTAAAATACAAAGGGAAGGTGATAACAGCATTGAAGCAAATACCAAAAAGTGTTAGAGATCTGAGAAGGGAATATCAATTTTTGACAAAATGCTTAATTAAAAGAGGGATTAACTTTAGATGGCTGATACCTGAGGGAATAATGGTGATATGGCATGAACAGACATATAGACTAGATACAATTGAGAAAGCAGAGCAATTCTATGGCCATTATTTCAGAGAAAAAGAAGGAGAAAAAAGGAGGGAAATTGAAGAAATAAAAAGGAGAGAAAAAGCTGCAGGAGGGAGTGAAAGATGATGAAGAGAAGAGGAAACAAAACAGGAAGAGAGAACAATCAGAGAAGAAAAACTGAAGGAACCAAGGGAGACAAGAGCAACAAAACCATATTATAAATATATGGAAGAAGAAATAAAATTGATGACAATTAACATAACTGGACTAAATTCAGCAATAAAAAGGAAAAGGATTTTCAATAAATTAGAGAAACTAAAATTGGACATAATTTGTTTACAAGAAGTGCATATTAAAAGACAACATGAGAAAATTGTGGACTATCCTAAGAATGGGAAATTATATACCTCCCTAGCACAACAAAGCAAAAGAGGAAAAGCACAATATATAAAGAATACTATAAAAGCAAAACCAATCTATCAAGATAATGATGGGAGAGTGTTAATGGTGGAAAAATTAATGAACTGTAAACAGACATTATTAGTGGCAATTTATGCACCAAATGAAAGCCAAGAAGAGTTCTATGATAGGACTTCTGGTTTGCTCGTCATCGGAGTCGGAGCGGAATCCACGATTCTGTGCAGTTTTGCTGCGAGCTAATTTGCTGGAGGGGCCCAATCCAGACCAGAACCACCCTGAAGGAGTGGTGAAGAAAGGGGGAATCACCTGGAGGGTTGAGGGGAGCTGGATAACTATTGGATTATGGGCACTCAAAGGGTATAACTAAATGCTGAAATTGAGTGTGTGGAAATGGAAAAAATAATAGCTAATGATTGAAATTAGCGAATTTAATACAAGTACTATATTCAACAAAGAAAGTTAAAGTTAAGGAAGGAGTGGAGAGTGAAAAAGGCTCAAGACCGCCACCTGATGGTACAGGAAAACTTCAGTGACTTTTTTTTTTTAAGTGTTTGGTCTTTCTAAGAAATTGGACTTTGGAACTTAAAAGAAAGTAAAAGAAACTACATTATAAAAAACAAAAACTCTGGAAAGTGACATTAAAATATTACAAAGGGGAAGATATTTGAAAATATTGACATAGAACCACCCGGTGAGTGTGGGAAACAGTTGGGAAAGGGCCACTTGAAAATTTGGAACAAAGATTTAAGGACATTGATTGTTGAAAATAAATTTAAAAGATACTGGCTGAAATAATACACTGGACTTTGGGACTGAATACATCAATTAGGGAAGAGGAAAAGAAAAAAAAGGAGACAATACAATGGAGGAATTATTTGTTGAAATGAGAGCGGACTTGCAAGACATAAGGGAAATGATGAAAATTAGATTGGAAATGTGTAAATTACGTGTTACAGAATGCAGAATGCAAACCAGAGGGGGAGGAGTTTAACAAAGAAGAAGCCAGCTTTGAAGAACAAAGGGATCAACAACAATTACTTAAGCAGGGGGGGGGAAGGAATTAAAATTAAAAATGTGTAGTCTGATGTGATAATAAAAGGGAAAATGGTTTGGAAAATGGAAAAAAGGAGAGGGAAAAAGCTGAAAAGGGAAGCTCAAAAGAAAAAGCGAAAGAGGGAGGGAGAAAAAATTAATAATTGGAATGAGAAACGGAGAGGAATAAGAATGGGGAAAAGGGAAATTAAAAGAAAGGACCAGAAAATAAAGAGAATGGGCATTGGTAAAGTTACCTGTGAATGCCCTTTCGATCTATGCTACAAGAGAGCCCAGGATGGGTAGACTCCTTCTTATGACATCATTAAGCTGAATCTGTACTTGTATATAAAAAGCCAGCCCCTGGGAGAATCCCCAGCTTTGGCGAAGATACTTGACAGACTGAAGAAGTGTCTCTGAAAGCAAACAATCCAATACATTAACATGCCTTACCATCTCCGGACAAACCAAGGGAGGGGCTGGGCTCTCTTGCAGCATAGATAGAAAGGGCGTTCACAGGTAAATTTACCAATGCCCATTCTCCTCCATGCTGCAGCGAGAGACCAGGATGGGACATACCAAAACTTGCATGTCCACGGGCGGGTCCTCGTCCAGCCAATCACTCCAACCGTGGAACCACTCGCTGAAGCACCTGTCTGCCGAAGGCTGCCATCGCTGAGGCAAAGGAATCCAAATGGTAGTGTCTGATGAAGGGAGACGGGGATGTCCACGTGGCCACTCTGCAAATCTCTTCCAAGGATGCCTGGATGGCAATTTATACATTCAGATCAAAATGGGTTTTTACCTAAGAGACAAATAAAAGACAATATGAGAATAATTTTAAACACTTTGGAATACTATGAAGCACACCTTGAAAAACAGGTGGCGTTAAGATGCATGGATGCACAGAAGGCCTTTGATAATGTGAACTGGCAGTTTATGTTGACACAAATGGAAAAAATGGAATTTGGGGAAAGGTTTATTAAAATGATTAGGACAATATATTATAAACAATATGTAAAGGTAAATGGAGAATTGACGGGAAAGGAACAAGGAAAGGGTGGCCCCTGTCACCACTGTTATTTGTATTAACATTAGAAATACTAAATAGAAATATTAGGAAAGATAAGGAGATAAAAGGGATGGAAATAAGAAAAGAGGAGCACAAATTGCAGGCATTTGTAGATGATCTAGTCTTTATATTAGAAGAACCTCTAGGAACAAGTCCCAAGTTAATAAATAAAATAGAGGAATATGGGAAAATGGCAGGAATGAAAATAAATAAAAGGAAAACTAAGATATTGGTAAAAATATGACAGAGAAATAGAAAAAAGAATTAACAAAGAGATTAGATATTCAGATAGTAAAGAAAGTTAAATATCTGGGAATCCAGCTGACAGCTAGATGTGGAACAATTAAAGAAGATAATTATTATAAACTTAAACAAAAATTAAGATAGACCTGGAAAAATGGGGCAATAAGCAGTTATCATTAACAGGAAAAATTGCAGCGATTAAGATGAACATATTACCAAAAGTGTTGTATCTGTTTCAAACAATCCCAATAAAATTGGAAAAAAATATTTTGAAGATATTAATAAAATAGTATTGAAATACATATGACAAGGGAAGAAAGCAAGAATATTAAAATGCTACAGGATGCAAGAACTAGAGGAGGGTTTGGGCTACCTAATTGGGAAATATATTATCAGGCCACAGCATTAACCTGGATGAAAGAATGGATTATGTTGAGAAATAAAAGGTTGTTGACGTTAGAGCGGCATGATCTGCAATTGGGCTGGCATGCATTTCTGTGGTATGGGAGAAGTAAAATACATGGATATTTTAAAAGACAAATGGTCAGGAATGCATTGTTATTAGCATGGGAAAATAAACAGAGAACACTATATGAAGATTCCAGTCTGGCTATCGACAGTGGAAGCACTTATACACCCAAATATTTGTAAAATGGGAACTATTGCTAGATATAAACAGTAGTGGGATTCAAAATTTTTTACTACCGGTTCTGTGGGCGTGGCTTGGTGGGCATGGCATGGCGGGTGTGGCTTGGTGGGTGTGGCAGGGGAAGGATACTGTAAAATCTCCATTCCCACCCTACTCCAGGGGAAGGATACTGTAAAATCTCCATTCCTTCCCCACTCCTGGGGGAAGGTTACCGCCGGTTCTCCAAACTACTCAAAATTTCTGCTACCGGTTCTCAGAACCTGCTAAATACCACCTCTGGATATAAAGATATTTTAAATGAAAAGGGTGAGCTCAAAACAAAACAAGAACTGAATGAACAAGGGTTGGAAATGCATTGGTATTCATATACGCAAATACAATCAAGATACAAAAAAGAGATTAAAGTCAAAGGGATTTATAACGATTTGGCAGAACTGGATAAAATATTAACAGGAACGGAAGATAAGCTGATCAAAAAATTTTATTGCTATTTATTAGATGTTAGAAGAGCAAGTTAAGGAAACGATAGCATGGGCGAAAAACTTTGGATATGCTGTAGAATTAGATAAATGGCAGAAGCTATGGGATAGGAATTATAAATTAACAATATCGACAGCATATAAAGAAAACTTGTACAAGATGTTTTATAGCCCTTGGTGCTCCAGCCTCAGGCTCTGCAAGTTTGCAAAAGTCCCCGTGCGCAGCCCGTTCCTACATTCCAAGTGCCCAGGCCAAGCTGCAGCTGTCCCTCTTGCCAGTGCTGTCTCCAACAACAGCGGCAGCAGTGGTGGGAACCGTGGAAGCGTTTCAGCTGCTTCTCGGGTGGGGGAGCTGCCTCCGTAACTTCCACAGTTCCCGCTGCCGCTGCTGCCGCTGTTGTTGGAGACGGTGCTGGCGAGAGAGGGACAGCTGCAGCTTGGCCTCGGTGCGCTTGGAATGCAGGAACAGGCTGTGCACCAGGACTTTTGCAAACTTGCAGAGCCCGAGGCTGGAGCACCAAGGGTAGCAGCAGCAGAGACGCTCGCTCGGCTCTTTTCACACCCACCCAGCCGCTCGGGATTAAACCAAAACACAGCGCGCGGCTGTGCATCCCAGACTGCCCCCACCCCCCCACCCCCAAAAAGGAAGGCAAGTGGTGGTGATAGGAGATTCTATTCTCAGAGGAACAGAACCAGTCATCTGCAGATCGGACATTCAATCTAGGGAGGTATGTTGTCTCCCTGGAGCAAAAATCAAAGATGTGGCTGAGAACCTCACCAAAATAATTAGGCCCACAGATTTCTCCTCCTTCACACAGGGACAAATGACACAACAAAGAACCTGAGTACAAGATTATGAGCAACTAGGAAAAAAAGTTAAGGAGTTAGCAGCACAAGTGGTGTTCTCTCTTTTTTTTTTAATTTTATTGATTTTTAAAAACAAACATAAACAAAACATAAAACATCTTTTTTGAAAGCAGCTTGATCCCGGGTTACATCTCTTCGTACAGACACAAATTCAAGTTCATGCTCATTTTTATATACCATTCCATATCTTATTACCATTCTACATTTTCTATATAGCTTCTCCCCTCTTTTAACTTTCTTAATTTTACTTTATTTATTTCATTTCAATTCAGATCATTATACTTATATTCTTTGTCTGTCCTGTTTCCAGCTGTCTATTATCTTTTCTCATTAAACAAAATTTCTCCTGTAATCACGGATTGGAGTATGACGCCTTTATATCTTTCCCCAAAATTTATAACACTTAATATAATACATAACTTACATTCGGATTCTGCTTAGTACATTCTAAAGCTACACGCTATATTTTAAAAAGAGAAAAAATTATAAGTATATAATTAAAACAACAATCCATACCAATTCAATTCTATCGTTAATATTAATATTCATTTAAATCTTAAACATTTTACACATTACTTTTCAAATAGGTATCATGCTTCTATGGGAACACTTATAAACTTTCCATAGTTACTTCCCCCCCACTTCACTTATATTTTAAAACATTGTGTAATTAAAATGTTCCCATTCCTTCCTAATTCAATTCTCTCATTTATTTCATTTCATTTATTTTGTTCACAAAACTTTCACTGAATTACACTGAGTATTTTATCCCACTTTTTAATCATAAGTTGTTTCCAATTTTCTAACATTATTTCTAATACAAATATAACAATACAATCTTATGTACCTTTGCAGAATCGCTTTTTCAGTTAAATTTTTACCCATTATCTCTGAATAAGTCCTGTTTCTTTACATTTTGCTCCACACCTTTGTAGCTTCTCTTCCCTTCCTTCCTCCCTTGCTTCTTCTCTTTGCCCTTTTTACCCCTTTGTCTCTCCACCTCCATTTCCCTCTTCTGTGTTCCCCTTTTCTGTTGCTTTCTAACATTATATCCACTTTTCACCTTATTTTTCCCTTTTTCGGTTGTTTTTTTAAATCTTAAATTCTCCATTCTCTTTTCCCCCTTTCCCCTTTCTTCCCCAGATAAAGGTACTTGTTCATTAAAGATGGCTTCTTCTTTGTCCCAATCTTCTTTTCTTGTAGTTTCTCGTAGGTACAGATCGCCATTTCTAAAAATTGAAAAACGGAGCCAAGAGAGCCCTTCCCTTCTTGTTCCTCTTCTTTATATTTTTTATATTCCATCTTCAGTTCATCCATAAGTGATGCCATTGTAAAAAAATTTTTTAACAACCACCCAAGTGTTTTTAATCATTCAAATATAATTTCCAGAAGTCCCAAAGTCACCAAGCAATCCAAATACACACAAGCTGTTTCTTTTAACACTTCCTTCTTTTTTTCACTTTCTCTTCCTGGGGTTACTATTTAGTTACAAAGTTCCAGTTAAAATGTATCTTTTAGAAGTCTTATTAAGATTTAACTTTAGATTCTTTTGGATTCCAGGCAGCCTTCTCCTTCCAAATCCTGCTCTTATTCCTCTCCCTTCCCACTTACAGCAAAAAAAATTTTTTTTTAATGTTCAGAAATCTTTATTGTCCCCTTGGCATTTGATTTTCCACTTTAATTACCTGTTGATGCTAAAGCGGATTTTTCTGATTTCTCATTCATCTCTCTTCGCTGTCAACGTAAGGAAGGAGAGTGAAAAAAAAAACCTTTCCCTTTTCACTTTCATTCACTGCTTCTGAATCTTCTTTGGGAGCGATGTATCTTTTATAAAATTTAAATTCCAGGATACCTTAGTTGTTGCTTCTTATCCCGGTCAGCCAAAACTTTCACTTCTTAACTTCCTCCTGCACTTTCTTTTCCAGATGAGTGCTCCTTTGAGGCGGCCATTTCTGACCACCACTCTTACCGCCTTTGGGAAAGGGAGTTTAGCCAGCTGGGGAGGAAAGATGTGGCTTTCCTCGACCTTGCTGGAATCTCCCCCCTCTTCACCACCTCTACGGGGTGGCTTAGCCCCGAAGCTAGCTGCCTTGGGACGCTCCAGCAGCGAGCCCAGGCAGAAACCGTGCACAATTATGGATTCCTGGCTGCTGCCGAAGCCCTGCAAACCAGAAGTCTCAGCACAAGTGCTGTTCTCATCACTACTCCCAACAAAAGGTCAACACTCATTGATGGAAAAAATAATTCTAGAAATAAACAGCTGGCTGGGTTAGTGCAGGGGTCAGCAACCTTAAACACTCAGCCATTTGGACCAGTTTCCCACAGAAAACACCGGGAGCCATAAAGGTCCTAACAAGAAGCCTCCTGTTAAATTCTAGAGCTGACTGGAAGTCCGGTTCCCCCACCATAAAGTCTCCTTCTAGTGCGCTGTCCTTTTTCTTCTACCTGTCCTAACCAAAAGCTCTATCAATTGTGGAGCCGACTGGAAAACCCACCCCTTGCCATAGTCTCCTCCTGGCACACCGTGCTTCCTCCCCCCCAAAAAAACCTGGAAGCTTGTCTCAAAATTGTGGCACTGACTGGTGACAGGGAGCTGCAGCAGAAGGATGAAAGAGCCACATGCAGCTCCAGAGCTGCGGGTTGCCAACCCCTGGGTTAGTGTCTAAGACAGGGTTTGGCAATGTGCGACTCCAGAGCCGCATGCGGCTCTTTGGGCCCTCTCCTGCAGCTCCCTGACGGATGATCCCACTTGCTGGCCCCGCCCCTTGCCCTTCCCTCGCAGTCACTCATCTACTGAGAAGGTAAGGGCGATGGTGGTGGATGGAGACTTGTTCCATATTCCAGGGTGGGAGCGAAGTGCCGCTCTACTTGCCTCTTCTTCCGGCCCTTCTTGGTGCTGCGCACACTTCGGGGAGATGCGTGACTTGCTCTCAACCCCGAGACACTGACTTGGGCCAGCTGCAGCCGATGCTCTGTGTTGTAATGGGCTCCTGAAGGAGGAGGAGACGTCATCTCTCCCATTGTGAAGCTTGCTAAATTTAAGTGTGCTGTGCAAGGTGCTGCAAGAGCAGTGAGCAGGCCATGGAGGCATTGAGAGTAGCGGTGTCAGCTGCAGCCGGCCCAGCCAGTGTCTCAGGCGGAGAGGAAGTTGCGTGTCTCCCCATATTCCTCTCGCTGCCTCCATGGCCTCTTGCAGTGCCTTGCGCAGCACCCTTAAACTTAGCACGCTTCACAATGGGGGAGAGAGCATCCCCAGCTCCTTCTGGAGCCCATTACAATGTGGGGCATCGACTGCAGCCACCCCGGCCATGTCTCAGGGTTGAGAGCAAGTCACACGTCTCCCTGAGGTGCACGTAGCACCAAGGGCAGAAAAAGAGGCAAGTAGAGGGGCACTTCGCTCACGCTCTGGAATACAGAGCAAGTCTCCATCTGCCGCCGTCGCCCTTCCCTTCTCAGGGCAGGTGAGGAGTGAGTGGGAGGAGAGGGCAAGGGGTGGGGCCAGCCAGTGTTGGGTTCAGCTGACAGGAAGCCACAGCAGGGGGACGAAAGAACTTCATTTATCTGGAAACCTGAAATTACTCTTGATTTAAATCATATGGTAAGCACCCAAAGAGGAAGACAGAACATCAGCAAAAAACCCAAAAAAACACCAACCCTTGCCTGTTTTTGGAAATGGTTCAAGAGGGAACACACACACACACACACACACGAGAGAGAGAGATGAGAGGGAGAGAGATGAAAGAGAGAGGGAAAGAGAGAAAGAGAGGGAGAAAGAGTGAGGGAGAAAGAGAGATGAGAGAAAGAGACAGAGAAAGAGAGAGAGGGAAAAAGAGGGAGAGAGATGAGAGAGAAAGAGATGAGAGAGAGCCACTTCCCAGAGAAAAGAAAATACTGGGAGCCATAAAACCTGGGTAGGCATGGCGGGGGGGGGGGGGGGGGGGGGGGGGGGGGGGGTCATGTGGCTGGGTGGGATTGAGTTATGTCGAGTTGGCCACACCCACCCAGGTTTTGTGGCTCCTGGTGTTTTCTCTGGGAAACGGGTCCAAATGGCTCTTTGAGTGTTTAGGTTTGCAGACCCCTGGTCTAAGAGAACTTTGGTTTCCTGGACCATGGACTGCATTACCTCTTGGCAAGGGATGGCCTGCACCCCACAAAAACAAGGGAAAATGCATTTGGAAAGTGACTGGCCAACTAATCAGAAGGGCTTTAAACTAAAATTGAGGGGGGAGGGTGATTAATCTTTAGCCCCTCTAGAACACAAAAACAATCATAAACCCCAAGAAAACAAAGCAAACAATGAGGTAGAGAGTGATGAGAAAAAAGAAAAACTCAAACACCAAGTAGGAAATGTAAGAAACATACTCATGGACAGGCGCAGAAGTCTCAAATGCTTATATACAAATGCTCAAAGTTTGGGGAACAAACAGGGTGAACTAGAAGCAACAGTACATGAGGGCAGGTATGATATAGTTACCATTACATAAACTTGGTGGGATGAAACTCATGACTGGAATGTACTGATGGACGGATACACATTGTTCAAAAGAAACAGATGTACAAAAATAGGAGGTGGAGTTGCACTATATGTAAGAGATCACTACATATAAACAGAAATGCACATGATTAAAGATGAAAAACCCCTAGAATGTATATGGGTCAATATAAAAGGGAAAAAAGTGACATGGCTATAGGTGTATATTACAGACCACCCAACCGATCAGAAGAAATGATGAACTTTTTGCCAATCAGTTAACAGATGTATGTAGGAAACATACCACAGTAGTAATGGGAGACTTTAACTATCCTGATATCAACTGGGAGACAAACTCTACAGCAAGCGGGAGATCAGATTCCTAACCAACACAGCCAACAACTTTGTCATCCAAAAGGTAGAGGAGCGAACTAGAGGAAAAGGTATACTGGACCTAATTCTTACTAATAGAGAAGAAGTGATAAGAGGGAGTTGAAGTTGCCGGAACCTTGGGTGACAGTGACCATGCTTATAACCATTCGATATAATGGAAACACAAGCAATAGAACATAATCCAGCCAGTGTCTTAAACTTTAAAAGAGCTGATTTTAACAAACTCAAAAGAGAGATGAAAATCCTAAATGGGAAAACAACACAAGAAGCGTGGAAAACTCTGAAAAATACAATGATAAAAGCTCAGTCCAGCACAATACCACTGCAAAAGAAAAACAGGAAATCCAAGAAGAAACCAGCATGGTTGCACAAAGATCTCTCTGGTAAATTGAAAGAAAAAAAGGACAAGTACAAAAAATGGAAAGAGGGACATACAACTAAGGCAGAATATCAGCTGATAGCCAGAATCTGCAAAGACGAAGTTAGGAAAGCAAAGGCTCAGAATGAACAAAGACTTGCAACAAAAGTCAACGATAATAAAAAAAGTTTCTTCCAACATATAAATAACAAAAAAAAAATCAAGGAAACAGTCTGTCCACTAAAGAGAGAAGACGGCAAGGAAGTAACAGGCAACAGAGAGAAAGCAGAACTGTTTAACTCATTCTTTGCATCAGTCTTCACACACAAAAAAAACTATAGCCCAACCTACTGTGGAAAGGGAACTTCACGAGGACAGTGGTGACACCCAAGCAGGAAAAGCCCAGAGGGAACATCAGGCCAGCCATAAAACAAACTTGCATAGGAAAAGAGATTTAATAAAAGGTATTGAAAGAAGCCCCCTAGACAAAAGCCAAGTAATTAAGAAAGCTAGGGAAACAAGAAAAAGAAATCCCTTACAAACAACAGATCATGCCAAATCAGCAAAACAAATAGACACAAAATATATTGCAAAGGAGACAGACAGGAGATTGCCACAAAACAAATATAAGAAAACATTAGGACGAAACTGATAATCCAATCAAACCACCTCGCGGAGTTTGCCCTCCGGCGGAAATGAAGACAACCCCTGACAGGATTTAAAACATTAAGAAATACAAACACAAGCACACACACACAAAAGGAGAAAAAGTATAAAAAATCAGGGGCTTATTATACAAGGCTGGCTAGCCCCAGGAACGCAGACTTCTTGCTATCTCTTGCCTTCCTGAAAAATAAAAAGAACCAGCTTCCAAGCAGTTGTCTGTATCCTTGCACCGGAGTTCTCCCAGCAGGAAAATCGGATCCTCAGAAGAAAGGCATTTTCCAGCCTTTCAACACTACCAAAAACATAACCATAGGAGACACTAGAAATAAAAATTAAAACAAGCAAGAAAATGGCAAGGGAACACTTGTCTGATCTTGATGAATATAAATCACATAAATCACCATGACCTGACAGATTACATTCCAGATTTCTGAAGGAACTGGAAGATGTTATCTCAGAACCACTGTACCATATCTTTCAAAAAATACTGGAGCACCAGGGAACTAACCCGAGGATTGGAAAAGAGCTGATGTGGTTCCCATCTTCAAAAAAAAGGGGGGGGGAAACAACAGACCCCGGAAACTACAAGCCAAGCAGCCTAAAATCAATACTTGGGAAGATGCTGGAAAAGATAAACAAAAAACAGATCTGCGAACTGTCGCGTTGAGCGACCGGTCTGTTGTTTCGCCTTTCTGGTTGATT